GACCATTATTGGGGTCCAGAATAGGAAAAAGGAAACCAATTCACGTATGAATTTTCAATTATTTCCACAACTTATCGCATTTGATTGTCTATAACACCAATTCATACATTTATTTAACAAATTAATAAGCCATGATTTACCGTTACCATTTATGTAAACAATATTTTTAAATTTAAGATTTAGTCAAATTAATTCTTAATGTGTAACCAATATTGAATTGGTATAAAAATATTTATTCATATACTTTTAATTATATAATTTATTTAATCAATAGTTAACAATATTACTAATGAGTAATAATTTACCGTTATATAGAGCTGTGATTTTCTAATATGATATGAATATACAGTAAAATTACATTTATAATTAATATTGTATTGAATATAAAGACATATTGTATATGTTTTGATTGGATGAATAGCTCGGAGCGCTTCTGAAGAATTCTCTTCCGGTTCCGACATAAGAAGCAAAGACGGCGACGACTATCCGTCGCCTAAAGACAAAGATAAAGATGAAGGCATTTAATCATATCTTATATTCGGTTATTTTAATTGAATATTAATATTAACATTTGTTGTCTGAATAGAAACAATCAAAGTTTATGACGGAAACGCTTCAATGAAAAGGCGAACATTTAGGACAATCACAATCTCCAGAAGCGCCACCAAAGACCAGATTATAGCTGCATGTCTTCGAGCATTCCATATACACGACGATCCCCGTCATTACATTATCACTGATGCTTACGGTTTGTATTCACTTATAATTGCTTTGTAGTCAAACGAATCACTCACTCAATCATTGATAGAGAGAGAGAGAGAGAGAGAGAGAGAGAGAGAGAGAGAGATCATTGAATGGTAGGGAAAATACAATGCAAATGTCAATTATTATGTTTAAAATTCCTTTATTCAAAACAAACGAATTGCATGACTGATGTTAAAAAGATCTATTACACTTTAGGATAATTAATTATCCACTTTTAATAAATTGTGCTTTAATTCATTTAAATGCTTATTGGCTTCTCTTGAGCACAATTTATATATTCAATGGATTGTAAATACATTAGTGTCTAATTAACCAAATCTTGAATGAGTTTGGGTTATAATGTTTAAAACAAACCATTTTTGTGTTAATTTAGGGCTTTATATAAATAAATATTTAAGTGATTCCAAAATAAATCTATCAATAATTGAAAATTTTATTAATTATTTACAATAAGAAACTACAGAATAGTATCAAATATATTTATAAATTAATGATTTATATAAATTAATATAAATTAAATTTATAATTGCAATAATATCTAAACTTGTATTGTTTGTGCAAATAGTTTGCAATTTTGTTGTACACGACCGATGCCTGAAGACTGTGGTCTCTCCGTGCTCTACGGTTGCCTCAAATGTTATCAAAGTATGTGATTATTATAATTGCAAATTCTTCTCCATGTAAATCATTTATTTGGCTGAATATTTAATAAATTGTTTCAATTGTTTCATTTGATGTGCAGAATCCTGTACCTCACTGTTGGTCAGATTGCGGTCATTTGAAACGGAAATTCTGTAATGTTTGCCGTAAACGCATTGAGGATCAGAGCGCTGTTAGGTGTGAAGTATGCGAATATTGTGTTCATTTAGATTGCCATGACTTCAGCGTTTCTGACTGTAAGGAATGTGCCACTTATGTTCCTGACCAAGAATTGGTATGTCAGCCATACTTACATCCAATACATCCATCCCATGCATCCCTGTCTCAACAAAACATACACAATCATACTTTCGTCAAACATAAACCACAAACTCTTTTCATTTATTGTTTCTCTAATTCTTATCTTTATGACACAAATTGTTTTTTGTAGAGATTATTATGTTTTTAATAATTTTATAAATATATAGTTTTGAAATATTTGTCAAGATTTATACTAAAAGTTATTTTTATTGTTATTTAATTGCAGTATTTTCAATAATTATAACATATTTTATATAAAAAATAATCGTATTAATAAAAAGATCAGCCTTTTATTTAAATTAACTATTTATAGTTTATGGTAAAATATGCAGTCATTAGTTACCGACACAATTATATGGTAAACAATAGTCTTAAGTATGCAATAAATTTTACATAAAAATGAATGCAAATGATTAACCATTGTATATATAAATACAGATTATATGTGATTAGAGCATATGTGACATTTAGATTTGTTTTGACATAATTATAGCTACAAGTAGTCCAAAGCCATCACTGGAGGGAAGGCAACCTTCCGGCCAATTCTAAGTGTCATTATTGCAAAAAGACGTGTTGGTCTACAGAGTGTTTGGCGGGCATGCGATGCGAGTGGTGCGGCTCTACCGTACGTATACCATATACACCATATTCAGTCACCTTATGTCTCAACCATACACTCATGCCATGTGTGCATGTATTACAGGCCCACGCCGTGTGTTACCGTCATTTATCGCCGGAATGCACTTTCGGTTGGTTGCAGTCAATAATGTTACCACCTTTTTGTGTAAGCATTCCCAGGACTGACGTTCCCTTAGAGACCATTATTGGGGTCCAGAATAGGAAAAAGGAAACCAATTCACGTATGAATTTTCAATTATTTCCACAACTTATCGCATTTGATTGTCTATAACACCAATTCATACATTTATTTAACAAATTAATANTTCCCTTAGAGACCATTATTGGGGTCCAGAATAGGAAAAAGGAAACCAATTCACGTATGAATTTTCAATTATTTCCACAACTTATCGCATTTGATTGTCTATAACACCAATTCATACATTTATTTAACAAATTAATACGCCATGATTTACCATTACCATTTATGTAAACAATATTTTTAAATTTAGTAAAATTAATTTTTAATGTGTAACCAATATTGAATTGGTATAAAAATATTTATTCATATACTTTTAATTATATAATAGTTAACAACATTACTAATGAGTAATAATTTACCGTTACATAGAGCTGTGATTTTCTAATATGATATGAATATACAGTATAATTACATTTATAATTAATATTGTATTGAATATAAAGACATATTGTATATGTTTTGATTGGATGTATAGCTCGGAGCGCTTCTGAAGAATTCTCTTCCGGTTCCGACATAAGAAGCAAAGACGGCGACGACTATCCGTCGCCTAAAGACAAAGATAAAGATGAAGGCATTTAATCATATCTTATATTCGGTTATTTTAATTGAATA